CCCCCCCCCCCCTATCTGATGATTTACTTCAGCCAACAGTAACTGGGTGCAGCTGTCTGTGTTTTCACTCCATGTTTTTTCCTCACTCTCCAGTTCCTCTCCAGTCCTTCTCTCGGTGAAAGATCATCAGATCTGTTGCTTTGGGACATAATATTATTTGGGGTCGTTATTCACTGCGTAAAGAGTCGCTACATGGATGAGAACAGATACCGGATATGGCAAGCTATTTTAACATACAGTCGGTTTCGTCTGAACCCTATGGCAAGCCGTTTTAACATAAATTTGCAGCAACACTCAGTGAATATTAACCTGCAGCTACTCTGATATATGTTTAAGTAAAAGTTAGGAGACGGGTTGGTTAAAAAAAAGTTTAGTTAGTTACACATACAGACCTTTTTCAGCTAAAACTGGCAGCAGATTGGACATTTATATAAGTTAAAAAAGCTGGGCTTCTCAAAAGACCATTACTCAGAGTTAAAGATTACATAAATAGCTGTGCAGCAACCCAGAGACAGCCAGACTCACAGGACACAGACTTAATCAAAGTATAAGAAACCTACAAGAATTAAAGCACAAATAATACAATTCAGTGTATAAATGATTTTTGAAATATAAGGTTCAATACATAGACTTTGTCTGTCAATGACATCTGGGACAAATTTCTAAATTAGATTTTGCTGCTTGTGAAGGAGGATGATCACTGATGCAGCTTAAAGGGAAGCCATGCATGGATGGATGGAGGTGAAGTTGTGTCCATAATAGGGATGCAGGATATATTGATGTTGGCATCGATATCGGCTGTTATTTTTCATTTTTTATACATTAATGTTTTTGAGCCCTTTATAAATAAAGCACTAAAGGCAGGCATCTGTCTAGATCTATAAATATTAGTGTACTGTTGTTCTCTGGTGTTCTCAACAATAGGAAAGCATTCAATAGATGTTTGAGCTCATTTTGGGAAAATATAAACCCTATTGAAAGCGTTTAGTAGCTGTAGGTCCATCAGCCCCCACNTAAATGCTAGCTTTGAATGTGGTGATGTCATCTGTACGCTTTTAGTTTTCTGCTCTTTTCTTTAGATTAAATATTTTAATCTTTTTTGCCATAATTTATGAGCAAAGCAGAAAACATCAGAACAAAGAAAAGACTTCAGACTTCACATGGAGGTGAGGAACCTTCAGAACCACCTCTATCTCCTAGTCTGTAATGGTTTTCAAACAGCTAGGATCAGATAATGAGGATACCAGGATGAGAGCGGCTCCAGGTGGCACCGATCCGCCATCATGGTAGTAGATTCTAGGGAGTGATTCATCTAAAGGAGCCAGTGTCAGGAAGGAGGGGTGGATTTACCTGAACATAGTAGCTTCCTTTGTCTTGTGCATAGAGCATCAGGAAGCTGTAGTCCAGGTTCTGCTTAGTTCGCCATCTGAAAAAAAAAGACGAGTCACTTGATACTGTTCCGGTGAGCCAGACTACAGGAGACGATCTGAGGCAGGAGGACCTGCCATATCACCCTGACCAGTGATGGGAGTAACGGCATTCGAAGTAACGGCGTTACTAACGCCGCTACCTTTTTTTAGTAATGAGTAATCAAAATGATTACTCTTACTGTAACTATAAGCAGTTGCAATTGCCGACACCCCATTACTGCACGTTACTCAGGTCGCACAATTAACCTTTTTTCATGATAGGACTTGTGCACACCTTGTCATGAGAGAGGGGAGGATGGAGAGTGAGGAGGACTCCAGCAGCAAAACAGCGCTTTCCAGATGGAAATACCGCTGTTACGTCGAGCTGCGTTTCTCCATCAGATACGCTTTCCCCTGCATCTCTCCACAGCGCGGCGGCACGATTAACAGCGCAAGCGACAGGATGCACGCTTACTAAAGGCGCATAACAGCCGCCCTGTGCTCGCACCACAGGAGAACTATGGAGAGCGTGAACGATCATTACACATCCCCAGTTATTAATTTCATACACTTGCAAAAGCAACGCAATAGTTACTTTTACTAGTAACTAGTTACTTTTATTGTAGAGTAACTCAGTTACTAACTCAATTACTAATCATGCTAACCGTTCTAACCGTGCTAATGGTTTCAGCCATCCTGATGGATAACAGATGGATGAGGGAGAACAGATGGATGAGGGAGAACAGATGGATGAGGGAGAGCATATGGGTGAGGGAAAACAGGGAGATGAGCCAGATGAAAGAAAAAGAAAGATGAGCAAGTAGTACGCTTTAGTGTGTTCTGTTGGTGGTGTGACGTTTTTCCATTGAAAACTCACGTTTAGAGAATGTTACAAATAAAAGTCAAATTTCATTCAACATGCGTGCGTATTTTTTATTTTTTTTTATAATTAAGTGTTCCATGTACGCTAAAAAGTGCTGCTGTGCTGGGACGGACAGGCAGAGGTAGACCTGGAGGAAACACCTTCTCTGTTCTCATCTCCAAGCGTGCTGATGATGTCACTACTGTCAGGACAGTACCCAGAAAGCCCTGGCTGAATCCTGAGGTGATGCCTCTGCTGAAAGCTATGGACGCCATGTTCTGGATGGGTGAGGCACTGTTTTCTCCAGTGACCTGGAGCACCAACACTTCCTGTCGGGTCAGGGAAGATAATCAGGATCTCCAATTCCCCGGAAAGCTGCAGAGAGCTGGACTGTGGAGCTCAGACCAGAGGAACTATCATCTCTGTGGTGAAGAGCATCCTCTGCAGAGGAAGGGAGCTCCACCCATCCTGCACACTCACTGTTCCAGCCTCTCACCTCAGGCAGGCGGCTGAGGTCAGACTACCAGTCTCCACACCCCAGGAATCATAAACAGTTTTCTGCCCCTGTACGGTAGAGCAGTGGATTTATGGAGCAGTGGCGCCCAGGTGCATGTCTCTGTTCATGGTGACTTCTCTAAACGCTCTGCTGCAGATGTTTGCTCACAGCAGTTTGGTTTTCCTGGAGCGGGAATCTTTTCAGGAAGATGTCTGATTCTTACTTTACTCTCTCCTTGGAGTCTCCAAAGGTCTCTTTGAGGAGGTTGAAGTCGGGGTAGTAATGCTGCGAAGGGGAGACCACCTCCAGGAGGCCGGACTGCACTTCTTCAGGAAAACTAGCAGATGAGAGAACAGAACAACAGGAACATCAATCAAAGGCTTTCTCCTTATACCTAAGCTGAGAACATGATGTAAAGTCTGAACTTTGACTAGGCCATTCCACACACACCAATAGTCTGTGACTGGATTAAAACATTAGCCCCATTTCCACTAG